GGCTTTTGGAAGTCATTTCTGGAAATATTGTTCGCTGCCATTGGGCAACGCAGATAATTTCGCACCGTGCTATATACGTCCTACACAGTGTTGCCATCGCTGAACGTCAGACATCCGCTAAAAAGAAATGAGAAATCCGCCAGATTCCGCTAGATTCTAAAACGCATCCACTAAATTTCCCGCTAGGGCCTATTTTATTCAAAAAACACTGCAATTTCGTATGATAAATACCTTTATCATTCTCAAAAGCTCCCCAAAACTTCGAGAGCAGAAATAAATATTGCCGCGAATAGTCGTTCAAGGAGTCTAACTAGAACACTTGAGGCTTCAGTGCTGCGGTCGTCGTCATTGGTGAACCTCATCACAGATGAGGCTAAAAGTTATAAATGTTCACACTGATAAAAAAACTCACAGGTCAACGAAAAACACATCGAGGTCTTCGTCGCCGCTGTTGTCGTCTGACACCATCTCCACAGGACCGCTGGTACTTGTTGAGGGACCAGACAGGTGACTTGGTTGCACATACGTTGCAGATGTCCCGATTGCACTAACAACTGCCGCGGGAAGTTCGTAATCAAAACAACTTTTCTGGTGTCGCTTCAGCCCCGCTCTTACGACGAGGATGGCATTTGTTGTTTCAGGCTTCAGCTTGTTCCTCAGCTTGAATTTTACTATGTTGAGCTGACTAAATGTCCTCTCTACTTCGGCATTTGAATACGGCAGCACGAGCATCGACATGGCAAATCCGGCCAGCTCGGCGAACGGGTTTTCGCCGCTTTGAAACCTCACGGATTTGTTTGTCCGAGATAGGCGAAGCAAGTGAACAGGAGCCTCTGAAGTTAAACAGTTTCCGCATTTTTAGAGAACACGGGAATGGTTTCTTGCAGGGCGATTTTGAATTGGTCCACTGCGTGAGGTATCCGACAGAAATCTGCTATGTACAAAAATGGCCCGTCAGAAAATCCGCTAGCCGGTAGACTGATTTTTTTCCCGTCGAAATAAAATAAAATCCGCCAGATTTAGCAGGAAATCCGCCAAATTGGCACCACTGGTCCTACACATAGTAAGTGATGGATGGATAGCGCAAATTTGTTAATCTCTTCTCTAGTTTCCGCGTTCAGTAGCTCTAAACTTCTCGGCCAAAGTGGGCAACTTTCGCGCAGCAGAGCAAGTCAGCGACACTAGACTGGTGATCATATTGCTTTATCTATTTTTTATATTAAACACACCAGACAGCTGTATCTTTAGTGTACGCCCTCGATTCAAGTGAACAGCCAGCCACACTCAAAGTTCTAGAATAGGACGGCACGTATCAAAGTAGGGTGCCTCGATGTGCGTGTGCCTCCGCTCTTAGGGCGTGTTCACACTGAGTATTCCAGCCGCCGAAAATATGCTCAATCCGATTCGGCGGTGGCCAGATCCACTGAAAGGGCCCTTTGAGCGCTGATCGCTCTCGGACCAACTTTTGCGGCGTCTGCCGCCGAATTGGTCGCTCCGTGCTAGTCGCGTCTCTCAGTACTCTAAAGTTGTTCCATCCATCCATCTACGGCGAGCGAATTTCCACACTTTGAGCAGTGACCTTTCCGCGAACCCTTTCTTTGTAAATATGTGGCTTTAAAACACAGCAATGGGAAAACTTCTGTCGAAGGAATGCCGACACGCAGCTCTGCTATGCAGAAATATGCCGCCGGCGAAACTTTCTTGCCAACAAGCACCTGCTACGAGAGAGGGTATGGTGGGCGGGGTGCCCACAGTGACGTCACACTGTTTACAAGCAGGGAGATGATTATTAGGTGGTGTTGGTCCCCCACCCACTCGCAACGAACTTCTCTCTCTCTCTTAACCTCTGCACAGCCCGCAATGGTCGACCACCGGTCAAGTGGAAACACTCTTTTGACTCGGTCATTTGCAATGAAACTTACACGAACCCCAAGCCGCCACCCGCGTCTTCGCGTTTCAAAGGAACGTTTACTCGAGTAAAGGCTACACCGAGTTTCGCTTTATACCGTTCTTCAGCAACCCGCGTCGACGCCTGTTTAAGTTAGGTCAACAGCGTGCAAAGCACTGCTGCTCAGTATGCCATCATAGTTCTTTCAGTTTGTTTACACGGTTGGAACAAGAAACAATTTTCTAAACAGCATCACTGTTCAAAATTGCCAAAGGTAAAATTCCTACAGTCGCTGGGGCAGCACTGAGTGATGATATCGAGTCGATAATACGTAACTTGCGCTTGATGTGCTCGGAGTGCGAATATCTCTGAATCTTTTTTCAGACCCTCCTTGGCACTGAAAGCATGCGTCACGTCATTCTTGTTCAAATTGCGATTATTATTTAGCAGCTTTTAAAAGTTATGAATGCGGCAATATCTGTCTGAAATGCACACAATCATTTTGCATTTTGAGCCCATTCACCCACGAACCGATATAAGAAACTCTGTATCCACTGGCGTATAGCAATAAGCTACAAAGAAATGACATGCGCATTGGCCTAGAAGAATTAGGGATGTGATGAAAAGTTGGTCCTCTTCCGAGATCGAGAAGTTATTCTTGAGCTTGCATGCCTTAATAAATTGTTTTGCTTTTCTTGGTAAAACAATTGCTCATTGTCTGGAATGCATACTAATTCCCTTTCTGGGGCATTCCACTTGTTGGAAAGCTCGCACAATCAATATATGTGGACATGCACAGCGAAGTTGATGCTGAGTATGTGACTTAACAAAAGTGCATGGCTTTGCGGGTGTCTGACATTTTGCATGTAAAGCACTTGCGCTGAACGTGAAATGGCGATATTTTAATAGATACAAGCAGCATTAACATATGCATATATATATATATATAAATATATATATATATATATATATATATATATATATATATATATATATATATATATATATATATATATATATATATATATATATATATATATATATATATATACTCCACCATAAATCGCGAATTGGCAGTCAGCGACTGTAACTTGTGTTTTCGCTACGTATGGCCTGTTTTAGTTTTGTAAATATTATTTTTAAGAGTTGTATCACCAACTACCCTGACTATCTGTCTTGATTTAGCACATAGAGGGGACAATGCTCGAGGCCTGTGTATTTACATTTAGGAGCACATTGGAGAACCACAGGTGGTCGAAATTTCCGGAGGCCTCCACCACGGCAGCACTCATAATCATGTTGTGGTTTCGGGATGATAAGATTGATATTTATATTTATTCTGCTTAAAGAGATAATACCTCCAGAGTGAGGGTCACCTTGATCTACAACTGAAAGCACATGTACTGGATGAGGACATATATTTCATGTACGCAACGAAAAAGAGGGTTCATTACACGAACAATTTGTACGTTAACAATATTTATTGCGCGTGAACAAAACGACGACACAGAGACAAGAAGGAGACGAAGGATACGAGCACTTTGTCTCTGTGTCGTCGTTTTGTTCTCACGCTATAACTATCGTAATGTCATACCAACTAGCCCAAGTTGCCACACTTGCACGCTAAGCTATATTCACGACAGCATTTGGTCAATGCACAGCGTGTTTCAGCAAAACTGATGTGGCGTCGTTAGTATGCAGCTGCTTCTAGGCATGTCCATTAATTCTTCTTGACGCTGCGGTGTTTTACTCTCTTGTTTTGCTCTCCTGTAGGAAATGCTAGAAAAAACTCAGAGCCTAGTAATTACGAGGGCTGCCAAACAGACTCATTTTCCCAGGATGCGAATGATCTAGTACGTTACTTGGCCATAACTTCTTTCTTCTGAATCAATAAGACTTTTTTCAGCCAAAAGCGCTGATCATGTTGAACAGATCATTACGTTACAAATGACGAAATTCGAGATAAATATGCAATAAGAGAGGTGCGTATTGCCTTGAAGTATGAAGTATGCACAAAAACTTACATGATTTGAAAGGCGGTCGATAGCCTAATTTATCAAGATCATGGTATTAAAAACTCTGCCTTTCATTCATACTTGAATTTTTGTAATTGGCAGCGATGCATTGACGTTTTAACTACGTAGAAAGGGAAATAGGCTTTATTAACTGGTTCAATTTATGCACCCGGTACTTTCCTTGCGAACATTCGAGCTGCTCTGCATTCTTACGAGCTACATGGGTCATTGTGTTGCTTGGGCAAAAAGGCTGTCTTGCTCAGCTTTTCGTAGCTACTGCAGTTGGCCTTGCTTAGAAGCGTTGTTCAAAAACGTCTATCCGTGCTCTATTATGGTGCGGGGTAAAGTTGCTTCCCTGCTAGTTTTCGCACCGTCCAGCGTAACGTCACCTACTTGACACTAGGTATTTCACGGTGCCTAGAACTTTGCGAAGTCCGCCTGTAGCACAGAGGTAATGAAAGCTGGAAGAGAACTGGAGCCCGAAGGAAGAACCGGAAATTATTTGGCAAATTGGAAGTGAAATATAACGCAAGCTTTGTGTACACGATTCCGTTGGGTCTATTGATGTTTCATTTAAATGTAATCTATTTGTTAACAGAGCAATAGATACCACGGCCAGCAAAATGCAGTGATGTTATGATCATGGTCATAGCTAAAAAGGGTACTGCGCAACCCGGACCCATGCACACCGGAATTCAGATGGAAGGGGGTGCTTTACCGAAAATACGTAATGCGACCAGATGTTTTGAAGAAGTATTCAAGGCTTTTAGCACGTAAGTCCGCCCCGAAAAAAAAACCCTGGCTACTGGTTTGCTTAAGGCAGAAGAACTGCGTGTTATTATATATTATATATTTCCTGGAGACCATTTGTCACTCACTGTACTGTATCAACCATTGTACATACATCAGCACCTGCGATACAGCAGTGGTGAAGGTAGAGACCATTCCTCACATTCTCTTCTCTCAAATCTGTCAGCTTTCGCGTAGGCGGATGTCAAAGCTAACATCGCCCGTTAGAGCTTGTCATGTTAGATGACAGGAAAGCAGTCTTCCTGATGTTTCAGCATTGTCGCAATGATATGCCATTTCACACTTACCTGTCTACGCAGTGAGCTGCCGTGATGACCCAGCTTTCATGCACCAAGGCCCCTCCACAGGAGATCTTTTCTGAAAACAGCCGCCTCACCACCACCGCCGCCTGAAAAAAAAGAATATAATGTCACAGCTTTGCCGCCAAGGCAATTGAAGCAATGAATGCGATAGCAATGAATTGGAAAATCACACGCAGAATGACAAGCACATCGAAACGTGCTCCACATATTTTATGCACAAATGACGCATGAAACGTACTCACAGCTACAGATGAACGCAAATTAGCGCCTCAGTTGCTATTTCGCTGTGTCTGAAACGCGCGCCCTTTTTGCAAGCGGAGACTGTACGACGATTGCACTGACTTTTGTGTGCCCGGTAACTACAACAGAATTGTTTCGGGGAAAGGCAAAAGGCAGCCAAGACGTACAATCTTCCCCATCACGAGTAGGGACGCGTGTGTAAGCGCCCACCCCCCTCCTGAGACTTGGAATTTGTTCAGACACTTAACTGATCCGACTCAGTCAAAGGCTACTAAAAGACAAAACTGCACCAAACTCCTGCATACTTGCGATATACCTCTACCAGAACTCCTATAGGAAATTCGAAATGAGTATTTCTCAACATACCCCGCTGTATTGCATCCCGACTATACAGGACAGGTCCTCCTAATGAGCTCCTCGACCATCCCAATACTGTAGATGAAGTTCAAGCCAAATACAGAAACTAAGCATTTCCTCAGCCCCCAGTCCAAGTGGTATTCACAACAAAGCACTTCATAATCTCGAGGGCCAATCAGTTACCTTCCTTACTAAATGCTTTAATGAGTGCTGATTAAGGGGCATCCTCCCGCCACAATGGAAACATGCCAAAGTTGTCTTTATACACAAACCTGGGAAACCTCTCCTTCGTCTAACCTCAGACTCATATCCCTCACTTCTGAAGCATGTACTCCAAACCAGGCTCTGCCAGTACCTAGAAAGGAAGAATCTCTTGCCTACTTGCATGTTTGAATTTCGTCCTGGGAATTCCACGCAAGACGTTTTTCTACAACTGAAGCGTCACATTCTCGACTCTCTAGTCTCCGATACCAAAGCTATCTTAGGAGTTCTAACGAATCCATTTGACAACGTTGCGCACTCAGCTATTCTAGATAACTTTATAACCTAGGAGTCGGCGCAAAGAGGTACAACTACGTCGGAGACTCTCTGAACCACCACGCAGCAACAGTAACATTTGGCGATCACAGCCTGCCAGGCATCACGCTTGGCGCACCTGGTATGCCCCAGGGCGCAGTTCTCTCACTATTCTGTTTAATATAGCGCTTCTTCATATGCTCCAAAATCTGATTCAGATCCCCAACATTCACTTGAGCTTGTACACCGATGAAATCACCATCTGCGCAAACTGTGGTAGCGACGTTGAATGGGAAGAATATTTTGTGATTGCGAAGACCGAACTGGCACTCTGGCACAGACGTGCATGCTAGGCGAGTTAGGTGGAGCAGAAAGAATGGGCAGAATAGGAACAGCTGGCCCAGGATCAGTTGTTGTCTCTTGTTCTTTGTCTAGTACATTACAATTCCGCTGTTCGACAGCTGAACCTTGCGGCTGTAGTCACCTGTACCTCGCGGGTCGTCGGCAGCGCAGGTCTCTCAATCCAAAAACACAGTCCACGTTTCATGAGTCATGAACTTCTCGACCCCACCACTGCTGCAGCTACCCAACGAATCATTCGCAGACGTCGTCAATGCCTCTTCGGTGGTTCCAGACACCATCTGACGGGAACGTTATCAGAGAAGGAGCCCGGGCTCCTGTCGTTCTGAAACGTCACGTACACTACCCGTGATATGAATCCCGTGCTAAACACTCTTCTTATAGTTGAGCATTTAAGAGACACCTGTCAGGCTTCCTTGGAGCACCCCAACGTCGCCAAGACAGCCCGCAGTCTCCCGCTGCCCGGGAACGCTGTTCATGCTTTTCATCACGACACCCTCTACTTCAATGCTCTATCGACCCCTCAGCAGCTTTCGGATGCTGTAAAAGCACCCTCGGAGAAGCAACCCGCTACCGTGACCGCAACCATCACCTCCGACTTCCCCAATATTGCCACTATATTCGCGTGCGGGTCATCGGATAGTGCCCCACAGCTGAGGCATACCATTACGTGACTCCACCTCATATTCAACGCCACGACAGCGATGATCTCCACGCTGTTCCCTGCAAACCTGTCGACTCTGAGCGCAACCAACGCCATGTTGGGTGCAGTCGCCTCGCAAGAACTTCAAGCCTGCTCATATGAGCAACACAGAGAGCTCAGGGTCGCTTTCCTGAAGCTCTCAGACCATCTCGACGGCTTTGCTTCAGCAATATCTGCATTCTCAATAGCCACCCCGTCATCGCCGTCCACTTACGAACTGCCGGAATTCGACGGATTCCGGAATGACGCCCACAGCTGGGTGGCAACCGTCAACGCGCTAGCCATGCGTGCGGCCTAGACAGAGCATCAGAAATGGTCCGTGGCCATAGACCGTCTTCGGGAAAGGGCAGCGGAGTGGCACCGGTATGAAGGCTGGAAGCACCAGTCATCGGTGAAGTAGAGCTCCAAGCTCATCATTCGCTTTCGGTCCGATTTCTTGTGCTACCTGTCCTCGGAACTTGACCTTCTCTGAGAACGGAGCGCAAGAAAAGCCTGACCTAGAGGATGCAATTGGGGCCCCCACCTTCCTCCAAGGTGAAGGAAACAAATACGAACATGTAACTCTGCCTTGCACAGGCATTTCTTCTGTCGTATTTGAAGCTCCTGAGAAGCACCGGCCCGACGGTGCAGCTGTGTCCGGCGGGTTCCTTACGGCACTCTTCGCGCTACGCTCCGGAATAGGCCCCGACGCAGGCCGTCTGGTCGACTTAGAGGCACTGGCCCCCTTCCTACAGGATATTCTACCATCTAATGAGACAGGTCTTTGCACCGAGTTTAATAACATTCCGTCTCACCAGACGGAACCAAATATGCGTTCGACGCATGCACTGCCCGAACCAGTAGTCTCCCATTTTCGGAACGGCTGCCATCGAGAATCTCCGGCCAGTACGCAGCGTGGCTTCAAGTATCGCTGAATTGATAGCGTCCGGGAGCCCCATAGTGACAACGCTGTGCAAGTTACGGACTACCCAAATCTCGGCGCAGAAGCCATGTTGCAGGTCAGCAAGAGCACTTCTCCTCACGTTAGTTCAGGTGTCTGATCGCACTGGAAAACATCCCTCGATTCGCCGAAAAATGTGCAGATGGCCGCGTATGAAACTATTTGTTTCCTTGCCGAATCCACCATTTCCCGCCCTGTTCTCCAAAATATGGCGGAACAAAGGAAATACTTCTGTGATTAACTTGCGACCATGTCGATCCAGTCTTGGCCACCCGCCAGAACAATCTCCAAAAAAAAAAACACATCACCGCCAGACACTTCAACTTCCACGAGAATGCCCACCAAAGGAAAATCAATGTGGAACTGCTTTCTTTGAAAACTCGCAGCGAAGCCGAGGTTCTAGGTTGCCACATGACAGTCAATGTCCTCTCGTGGAGTGATCATCAACAAAAGGACCAACCAAGACCCAGTCTCCACTACGCCATTGCGAATGACCCAGGCGAGATAGCCAGTGTTGGCCGACGGAGCCAATTTAGACAAACTTCCAGCGTGGTCAGCGCCGACCACAACGATGCGGCCAACCCCGCTCACCTGAAGCACTGTCAACTGCTGCCTCACTCATCGGTACATTGTCGTGTGGCCCATCCACAATGCTTCCAGTCATGGTGAAGTGTGATTGCAAAGACCGAAACTGGCACTCTGGCACAGACGCACATGCTAGGCGTGTGAGGTGGAGGAGGAAAAAGGGGCAGAATAAGAACAGCAGACTCAGGATCAAGTATTGTGTCTTGTTCTATGTCTAATACATTACAATTTAAAATTCTCACTAACCACCATCGACACATATGTTCAAGAACGTGACCTTACTTGCTCCCCTTCCAAATCGGAGCTATACCTTTACCGACCGGAGCCACATACTTCAGCCTTTCCCCTATCTCTATCAGGCTAGGTGCCCATTCCATCACACTTATCTCAGAAATTGGGGTGCTAGGGCTCGTTCTCTACTCACATGGCACACATGGCGAGGTAATCAGGTATCTCCAAATACACGCTCTGCAGACAACTCGGCTTATTCGTCTCATTGCGAACCCTAGGGCTGGCTTACGCGAGCGAAACATGCTTCAACTCACCCAGGCTTACTTCTCAAGCCGCACCACGTATGCCCTCTCATACCTACCTGTCCGACAGAAGAAGAGACCCCGGGTCAAGGTGCTTGTACAGAGTTGCACAGAAATGGCTCCACGCCTTCATCCAACCAAATTCAATGACAGACTTTTGAAACTTAGTGTACATAATACGTTCAAAGAATTTGCTGAAGCCACCTTTACAGCACAGAAATGTCGTCTCTATAATTTCGTGGCTGGCCGCGCTCATTTGTTCCAATTAAATTTAGCCCCAAATACACACTCACCCAAGGGTTCCCTCTTTCTTCTAACTTCCACACTCACCTGAACTTACCTCCATCCCGAAGAATTTGCATCCTCTGCGAGACGAAAAACGCAAAAAGACAAGGGCTCGGGCCCTCCAGAAACAATATGGCGAGGACCAGGATGCGGTCTACGTGGATGCAGCGGAATGTGCTTAAGGATCCCACGTAACCCTAGAAGGGGCTGACAATTAGGCAAATTTTCTCTCTTCGCGCACAATGATCCCAAATTCATCTACAGAGGCAGAAGAAGCAGCTGTCGCGCTTGCTCTCATCTCTGCGCCCGCCAGCATGATTAATTGATATGTGAGGTTTAACGTCGCTGAACCACCATATGATCCTGAGAGACGCCATAGAAGAGGGCTCCGGAAATTTCGATCATCTAGAGTTCTCATGCACCAAATCTCAGCACACGGGCCTACAACATTTCCGCCTCCATCGGAAATGCAGATGCTGCAGCCGGGATTTCAACCCTTGGCCTGCGGGTCAGCAGCCGTATACCTTAGGCACTAGATCACCGTGACCCGCCACCACAATAATTAGC